TGGACCCTACAAAAACAAAAGCGAAGATGGGAAACACCAGAGAAAGCTCTGAGGAAGAAAAAGGACTAACCAAAGAGGTTACAATGAAATCAATGAGGTGTGAAAAATTAGACGGTCCTGTTTAGGAACACGAGGATGCTGGTCAGCAACGATGGAGAATAGACTACGCCCTCGATTTTGTGAATTAATCAATACCGTTCAAAATCACTGACGTCGGACAAGGACCAGAATAACAGTCCCTAAGTTAATGAGCTGATAGGATATAGCCTCTAAATCTAGAAGCTGATAGAGCTTAAGTTTTTGGCTACCTCTCGAAATTGTCGGTTTGATGAAGCGGACGAGTTGGCGTGCCAAAGCCAAACTTTTGCTGAAGAATAATTTCTTACAAACAGTAGATATAGCTGGCCGCAAGTCAAGGTGGTCACAAGCTCATACTACTTTTGTACAGCTCATACACGGAGAAACGGTGGAACAGCCCGAGATGATGACGTCACTTCACTTGAAAGCAAACGTTTCAAAAATTTCACCGATGAAACCGTTATATGTAGTATTGAGACCACAGAAGAGGAAACTTCGTAGGAAGCGGCGATCATACGTCCGAGGGCGAATGCCCATCTTAAAATTGATCATCTTTTAAGAAAGTGAGTGCGTAGGACAGGAACAGTCAGTATTACCTACGATTTGTTGACAATCTCGATCTCATCACAGTAGCCATCCGTAATACGATGCGAAAATCGCAAGAAGAGCCCGCCGATGTAGTGGGAACTTGACGAGAAGTGAAAAAATGTTTCCTACCTTCTGCCGAGATGTCGAATATCACATGAGACGAGCACGCCGGTCGTTATTGAGTCAGAATAGCCCGAGCAGCTACGGCTGGAGTCCGACGAGCCGTCAAGAAGATTAGGCAGATCACTGACGTCGTAAGGATCCCCTAATTTTAAAGCAAAAAAGCTCAAATGAAACATCCCTATAACCATCTTACTCAACTATTGCAACTGAAAAGATGACGAAAAAAACTGGAAAATTCCTAATTCAGTGGCGGATTCGTCCCGTTACCAAGTCAAACAACACGAGTTGGAAATACACTCAAGATGTAGAGTAGCTGAATTTCTGTGAAGACGGAAGCACGGCCTTAGCAGCTGGGGCAGTACTTAGGAGCATCTGAGGAAGCTGACTAGACATCGAAGCCAGCGGTACCACATGGGGGTCAAGAAGCAAATACAAACGGTGACTCCGTCATTTGCCAAAATGCCGTGCCAGACGATATAGAGATCAGATTTATGGGAGGATTCACATAGAACACCAAGTCATCTTTGACGAGTCGACCGAGATCATTGAAGAGGTAGTGAACTGAGGGCTTTGAAAATCGAAAAAATGTTGAATAATCTTCTTGAGCAAATAAGTTCGCAAAGTGGGAATAAAATCAAGCAGTACCCCTACGGTTATAGTGCTTAGGAGACGATTCAAGTGTACAAGTTGAATTTCCTGTAGTTTTGTCAAAAATCTCAAAAATACTTACAGCTCTGCAAATGTGTAGTCGTGCCAGAAATCCGTTCTTTGATGTGCCACGGCCACTCCGTCAAACCATCCAGGAACCTCCGTTTCAGAAAAGTGCAGCGGCCATGATGCCCACATAATTCCTAGGATCTACAAAGCACTACCACGAAAAGTTTTCTGCATAATTTCCGCCCATCTTCTTGAGCAGATTGAACGGCGAAAATTTACGATCTAATTCATTCAAAAGCACCATGGATCCATTGCTTGTGACTCCAAGAAAGGCAGTGAAAGCTTATGAGAGCATCAAACCTGGCAGGACCGTTTTTTCCTCCAACATCGTCCACAACTTTGCGCTCAAACACACTAGAAAATGCTAATTTGGAACCAAGAAACTGCTACGAAGGCGTCCCTATGTTTTCCAAATGTGTGAACTGTTCGACGCGGGGTGTTCGAATCATCTTAGTCGTTCACCATTCATGCAGAGCACCCATCCGCTATCCTCCTCATTACAGCGACCCTCAACTTTCCATGATATCCTTTGGTCTATTGCTTTGATGAAAGAGACCAAATGGTCTGAGATGCATCTAGTTTAAAGGCACAGTTCACACTAAAAGTGATTTCTAAGATTGCTTCTTATGAACTTGTACTCCCCCCCC